AGAATGTGGAATATTACACATATAAAAAGTAAGATGTAATAGATATATAATAGATATATTACGTATATACTTTCTAGAATCGGGGTTTGTTCGGCAGAGTAAAGCTCTCTTCTAGAAATATATTCTTCTACTAAGCTAGATGGAATTCTGCTAGTAGTTGGAAAGCAACAGCGTCGAAATAGATTTCGGCTGGAAAGGGGTGGGGCTGGGTAAGGGCGGCAACGTGAGGGTGTCTTGCCCTGCTCTCCATTGGCGAGATATACAAGCCGCTCTGAAGAACACTTCGCACTATACAGTTCTCCCCAGCACCAGCCATCAAGGGCGAAATGCAACGACAAAACAATACAAGATGTCCTACCCTAGCAACTGGTTAAATACCGAGGAGAACTTGATTCGGCGGACTGCTAAGTACAGCCTTTTGGCACCGTCAATGCATAATCCGCCTTAGGTAAAGAAGGCCAAACAGCTGGGTATAGCAAAATAAATGAAGAGTCATCCCTCCAAGGACAAATTTCGGCAGAGCACGTACACATGGCTCGTTCAAGACGATGAAACATATCAGCCAAGACCAGCCAGTCCCTTAGATTACCTCAGCTCACTTCTGGAAGGGAAGAATGAGGTTGTGATAGCGGGGAAAGAAAGGAAGATATGTTGTCCCTGAGCACTGCTCAGCTTCCTCAGCTTCCGCAGTGCACAACTCGCCTATGCTGTGAACACATCGAGACGTGAGTCAGAGAATGCCGGAAAGACCTAGACAATCGTCGATCGCGTTTCCGAGGTCTCGAAGTGCATCTCCCCGATAACCTGTTGCTTTCAACTGAGTGTAGGTGGATGCTGCTGCCAGTAGAGTAGGATTGTTTGGGCTGAAATCCGCTTTTGGGTCGCCAGGCGCAGCATGCCGGCACGCAGTGAGTGCCTGTAGGTGCGCACTAGCACAAGAGCCCGCTGCCAAAGAAAGGTGCTTTTCAGCGTCATCTACCGTTTCCTCAAGCGTTTCATGAATACCCCGAAGTTCGGGGGGCATTTTGAATGGCCCAGTCAAGGAACCCAGGGCCTTCAACAGCGCACGCGCCTCTTTTGCACTCTTCAGCAGCCCTTCTAGACCGAGCATGAAGCTCCAGCCTGGAGGACCCGCAGACTGCATGCCTTCGTCTAATTTCCCCCTATAGTATTCAAAAACACCGGTAAAGCCCCTCAGCTTCCGTTGCCACCGTGTGGAGCTCGATTTCAAGCTTACACATACCTCGTCACATCGACCGGTCAAAGAGTGAAGTTCCTTCAAGATGCCATTATCTATACCCGGGAGAGGCAAAACCACTTGGGCCTGGGCAGAAAGCCGCATTCCTTCGCTGAAGAGGCCTTCGGCTTTGTCCAGCAACGTACAATCGGATCCGACCGATGATGCTACACTTTCGCCAGTCGTCAAGAACATTTTAAGCTGTTCTATGAGGGCCTCCGCTTCCTCTTGCGTTTTCAAGACTTTCTTGTCATGCGGTTCTCTCTTAGGGAAGGGAGGCCGCTCTGGTGGGGGGGGGTCCTCTCCCGGTGGTGTAGGCTGACCTCCAGGTGGTGGAAACGGCTCCCCTGATGGAGACGAATCCCCTGGCTGTTGCTGCCCGCCCTCTCGACGAGGCGAGGGCGGCTCTGCCAGATGGTCGTCTTTTGAATTACCATCGTCGCCGGAATCGAGCACATTCTCTGGGACAGGAGGCTGCTCGTCCTTCTCACTAACTGCCACACCTGAACTGTCTGCTGAGGAAAGGAGCACTTTCCAAGGCAGAGTCCGTGGCATGGATCCTAGAACAGGGGAGAGGTCGCCAATTTCCAATCTATCCTCTGAGCAAGGCGCTTGCGGCGAAGTTCCAGACAGAGTTAAGGTCAGTTCTAATAGATTGTCGTTCCAACGTCCTGACATCGGGGGAGACGGTGGACTCCCGCCTGCAGCAAAGCAATTTGATAGTACAGAAACATGTGCTGGCAAGCCATACAGACCTGAAAGACGATTGGCATAGACAGACTCCATAGCAAGACTACAGACAGAAAAGTGAGGTGTTGATGGAGCCTGACACTGGGTGACAGTATGAGGGGGATGGCCCTACTATGGAAGCGAACTGCTTAGTGCTGGGCGGATGTTTGGCTTACCGGGGACTTCAGAAGGTGGTGTTGGCAGACCTGTAGCAGATTTCGTTGGCATGGGAGCTGTGGTTGGTGCCTCTTCCACGACAGGGGGGATTTCTGGAGGTGGGCCTTTAGAATTTGTAGGTAGAGAAGCTGGGTAAACACCAGATACGGAAGGGGGAGTCCCTGAAGGCGAAGATTCTACCCGACGAGAAGGCGGAGTTGCAGGCGGCTGCGCAGGCCCGGATGCTGTCAGGGCTGATCGAGGTGGCGGTGATGCATCCTGCCCTGGGGATGAGAACTGCGGATGCGTCGGGGTAGATGAGGCAATGGGTGAGGAGGGGGACGGAGGTGCATCGTCGGGCTGCGACTCTGAAGGAAAGGCACAATAAGGAAAAGGAGCTGGGTGGTCAGGAGGTTTCGAATATTTGCTTCTAGAAACGTGGGAAGATGCCATATGACCCTCTTGTGGAGGCGAACTGCTGGGTGCTGGGCGGATGTTTGGCTTACCGGGGACTTTAGGAACTGGTGTTGTCAGACCTGTAGCAGATCCCGTAGGCATGGTACCTGTCGTCGGTGGGCGTTTGGGCCGAGGGGGCACTTGAGGGGGAGCGCCTCTGGAAGTTCTAGGCGGAGGAGTTTGGTCACCATGAGATGCGGCCTGTCCACCTTTCGAACGGGTTCCCGCACCGCCTTGAGGAAAGACGCCGGCCTGTAACTTACCCTCACGTGCTTGTGGAGGCTTCGCTGGGGAGGAAGCGGTAGGTATAGCTGACTTGGTGGGCTGTTCAGGCGGCCTAGGTGGATGCTTAGGAAGCTGTGCAGGCTGCGGGGAGGACGACGGTGGAGGCCCCCCAAGAGTTTGAGGTTCCTGAACGGGTCGTTTATGGGGAAAAGGTCCAGCAGCACGTTGATGAGGTAATTGCGTGGGCGGCTGAAGTTGTCCTTGAGAGCGCGGGGACTGTTCGGGTGGCCTAGGTGGATGCAGAGGAAACTGTGCAGGCCTTGC